CTGCCGGCCAGTGGGGGTTAGATTGAACACACACACACACACACAAGACTAATTTTATCGCGATCTGTCAAGTAGTTTTCAAGATGCATTCGAAACAAGAAGAGCTACATCAGCAGGCACGGTGATCGATAATCCTGGTCAGTCGCATAGATGGATCGGCAAAAGACTTGGAATCCACCATTCCACCGTGTCCCGCGTTGTGAAGATGTTCCAGGAGGCGAAGACCATCGAGCGGCGCGCTGGAAGCGGCCGAAAACCGAAAACGGAATACCCAGAGAAGGCGCGGAAGATAAGGCAGTACTTTAAGAATAACTCGAACCTTTGCACTCAAGACGTGGCCAAAAAGGTCAATTCGTCGAAGTGGTTCGTCCAGCAGACCATGAAGCGGGCTGGGCTACGTGTTTTTAAGGTCAGGAAGGCGGCAAACCGGACTGACAAGCAAAACACGGTGGCCAAATTGCGTGCGCGGAAGCTGTACCGTGAGTGGCTGGTAAAGCCACGAGACATACATCAAGGCGGACACCAAACAAATCCCCGGCCTCGAGTTTTTTGTCGGTACGTCCTGCATGGAGGTTCCGGAAAAGTACCGGAAGAGAAAGATGGACAAATTCGCGAAGAAGTACCTGTTGTGGCAGGCGATCTGCGAGTGCGGACGGTACAGCAAGCCGTTCGTTACAACCGGCACTATAAACGGGCAGATTTATCGAGAGGAATGCTTGCAAGAAGCGCTTGCTGCCCTTCCTCCGCTCTCACCGTGGTGGTCCCACGCTGTTCTGGCCGGATCTCGCTTCGTGCCATTACGCCAAGCTTGTAAAGGATTGGTACGAAGCGAAGGGCGTTAATGTGGTCCCGAAGGAGGCGAACCCGCCAAATACACCAGAACTTCGTCCGATCGAAAAGTTTTGGGCGATAATGAAGAAGAAATTGAACAAAAGCGGAAAAACATTCAAAACCGATGAAACTTTGAAGAAAAACTGGGATAAATTGTGTTAGGAAAATGAGCCTCGCCCAAGATCTTATGAGCAGTGCTAAGAGAAATGTACGAGCATTCAGCTTGGGGGAGGAAATTCAATAAATAAATTATGCCAAAACATAGTTAATATATCGTTATTTAATCCCTGAAAATTTGAGAAGTCCGGAGTGATTTGAGATTTGGGCGTAATTGTATTTGTAAAAAACACGTCAATTGCCGGTTTCTCTTGAATAAAAGCTCAATCCCATTAGCAAAATATAATAAATGATAGAGGAATCATTCCTCTACCTCATAGTGTTATAAGTTTTCGAGACTGAGCGTTTATTCGCGAGAAATCGGTGATTAACGTGTTTGTTTATAAATGCAATTACGCCCAAATCTCAAATCACTCCGGAAGTATCCGATTTAAAATGAATTTTTGGTGATCATTTTTGTGTGTCTCATTTTTTCCGAGTCCAGTCTTTATTGAAAATAAGCTAAAATTAAAAGGAATGTTCTGCCAAATTTATGAGCGAATTGAAATTTTCATTTACTAATTCAAATCTCTTAATGTATGATTTCGTACTTTCTGAAATATTTTGCCATTTAAAAATTATTTAAAAATTTCAATGTGATTCATGGGTTATTTAAGTGTTTTTTAAAGTTGTATTGGCGTTTTCAGAGCTGTTCTACCATTAAACATCAGAAAAAAAATCGATGAGCAAGATTCGCTACTCTTACCAAAAAATACACATGCAGAAGAGTAAATCTGAGTAGTTACGCAGAAATTGAGCTCATTTAGAAGTTTCTTTTAGAAGCTTGCCCGTCGCTACGCATTTCTAACTAAAAAACACGGACAGGACAATAAATCTGAGTAGCTACGCAGCAATTGAACGTTGAATATGCTTGTCAACTGGTAGCCAATGTTAACTGTCAAACATGTAGAAGCCACAAATGTAATTACTCTTCTTATCTATAGTCAAGTATTGTCATTTCATAGTAATTATCCACACTTTTTCGTAACACATCACATTATTAACAGTAAACTCAACGGCAGAAACCAAAAGGCTCAGTGAAGAATTTTTAAAACTAGTCGTTTCGACGGCTCAGCTGAGTTACAATTCCAACAAAACATATTCAAGCAAGAATGTAAACAAACATCATGAGAGTCATGGGGGTTTGAGCACTCGTGGCTCAGAGTTTTTGGCGCGATTCAATCGAAGTTGAGCAACACATTTAATTTTCAGGCTGTTTTCGGTTGACTTGCAAAATAATATATTTTGAGTAGTACCCAGGTTTTTGGAAGCTTCGTTTAGAATCTTGTCTATCGTTACGTTCCTCTAACTGAAAAATACGGTACAGTATATACAGTAAATCTGAGTTGCTACGCAGCTAATGAGAATTTTTTAAAGGTTTAGGTAATATTTTAGAGAAAGATTGTGTATATTGCTCGAGGAATTACAGCATTTTGCGGAAACTACCGGACCTTTTCAAGGGAAATACTTATCAAAGTATGCTCAAAGAAAGATATATTTTTTTCTTTATTAAAATACCCAAATAAGAAAATATTCCCTTCTTGAGCGAAGTATTTATTCTTATGCCTTATGTTACACTTTCATCATTTTAGCCTTTCGAATTCAGCCTTATGAGCTTTCACCCTTCCATGTTTCAGCCTTCTGCTGGAATCCCGGGAAACCACCCATTTTCGACATCGCAAAAATTGGGCAATTACGGTGGGCTGGGCACGAAGCAAGAATGTCGAACGACAGCCCGCTGAAAATGGTTATCGATAATAACTCGACTGGAACAAGACGACACGAGACGTGTAGCCATGGGTCGAGTGGAATAGAAACAAATCTGTGTACAGCAAACGCCACTCATGCCTCAGCCTGAATAGTAAGGCGTTCCTTTTTAAACTTCTGGACGTATCTCTCGAATGCACCTTTAGAGTTCTCTTGATGTCCCGATTAAAAGTCCTCTGTCTCCTGAAGTCATCTTTACGCCTATGTTAAGTTATCTGCACGTCCCCCTTAATTCCTCTGTCCAAATAATTCTTCCAGACTTGAAGCTAACGACCTGAGAGTCCCCCTTCCGTAAGTAGGGGAAAGTGGAACAAAGTGGCCACCCGCTTAAAAACCAACTTATTGAACATATTTTACAAAAAATCTGTTGCAGGCTACTTCAACTATCCATATCATTTAAGTCTACCAAAATACTTTTCTCTAGAGCAAATATTCAAAAAATGTTAGACTTGCTCAAAATGCCAGAACTGTTATAAGAATTCTGAATCAGAATTCATTGGTCATTGGTTTCTTATATGACACGATGCTTTTTCTAGATTTTAATAAAGATTAAAGATTTGCTTAACAAAATATTACTTAAGTCCATTCGGGGCAATATGAGCACCACTGATATTTCAACATAAATTCTTCAATTTTCCATTATTCCCTTCATAAATATGACTGTATAATATGAGATCACGATTTGTAACAACTGCTTTGGTAAAAAATCAGTCATTCACAAGACTGAAAAAAATATTGCCTTAAATAGGCAGTACTTCTGAAATTTTATTTATTCTACAGAAAATAATTGTTTCTGTTGAATCTTTTTATGCTAAAACTGTTCATTATTGACCCTTCATAAAGCCTCAAGAGAACATCATATTCTTACCCATTATTTACAAGGTCGCTCATACCCCAGGTTGCTCATTTTACCCCAACGGTTTAATTTCGGTTACAAAACGATTATTTTTTAAATCTTCTTACAGAAGATTCAACAGTTTACTTTTAATATTCAATTTGTATTCATGATGTTAATAGGGCTTGAAACTATCCATTTGGTTAACCATCATTCGAATGTCCCACTGAATTTTGAATGCTAAGTGATGATTTTCTTAACGTAGCCAAACTGCCCCACTTTACCGTATTTTGAAATCTCTAAAGGAAGTCATCTGGATTTTCCCCTTAAATCATGCGGATGTTCCCCTGAACTTTTTTGGACATCCTCATTGAGCCACTTTGAACGTTCTACTGGAGTCCCTCTGAAGCCCTATAGACGACGTCTCCTGAAAAAGTTCTGGATGTCCCGCTGCCTATTTTTGGACATTGGTTCACCCAAACCTTCCGGACGTCTGCCTAAACCAAGTAACAATTAGCGTTTTATCATAGTATTGTATACCATGATTGAGACTTGTTTGCGTTAGATCTTTTAGATGAACCTTTGAAGGCCTTGGAACGTACCTTTTGAGGTGTCTGGAGGTCTTTCTGAAGTTCCACTAATCCACTCAGGGCCCCAGAAAGCCTACTCAGAAATGGCACTGTATTAGCAAGCCGGAGGCAACAGGTTCGAAATGATGCTCTGGACTGATGCCTTATTCCTCTGATTACGAATCTTGAGATTGAGTTTAGGACTCCACCTTTTAGACCTTGTCCACAGTTGGATCATGCAGTGTGAATGGAATTTCAATCGAATTCCAGACGGAGAAGCGATCGAAGCCAGATCCAAAAATCACCAACAACATTTGTCAGAGCAAAGTTTGCTCCATCACTTCAAATGCCTTTCAACTTTGTTTCGAATTGTAATTCGATCTTGTACGGAATTTCAGATCAGATAAGCTTAAATAGATCTGGATAAGTTTTGTCGGAGTTCGGTTTACCTCTCTAGTTCAGATGGGATTTCACTAGATTTGTAGACGGAAAAGCGCGTGAGCTCGTGAGGTTTTCAAAAACACTTAAAAAGTTTAAAATATCCAGCACTAGTTTTGTCGGAGTTCAAAACCAGAAGATTTTTGATATTCCAAACTAGATTTAAAAGTCTTAAAAATATTGTCGGCCTCAGGTTTACTTTTTAAGGCGCGATTCTACTTGTGTCTATAATAGGAAAGCGTTACAGGGCCACTTAACAGGTCTGCAATTTGACAGTTGGTAGCAGTGTTGCCAGAATAATTATTAAAAAAAAAAAAATCAAATAGATTTTTTGTCAGGAGCACACCAAAACTACACCACTGCTGAGTTGTCCAACCATCAATGGGTGGAGGAATCCAACTTACCGCTTTTATTGTCCATTAGATCCCTGTACCAATCGTGCATGTCTGTGAGAATGAACGCCATCTTGGGTGATCTGTGAAAAAAAGAGGGAAAAAAGGTGTGAAAATTAGAACCGATTTGCGAATGATCAACAAAGCAAATTGTACATGCAGACAAACGACCAGCAGCAACAGCAGCAGTCAGTCGGCAGTAAAGCTTTTCAACTCCATTACAAATTGTCATACGACATCATCTTGGCGTTTCGCAAATTACCCCCCTGTATTCGCCGGTTATTTTCTTTCAACCACGCATAACTGTAACTCAGAAACAACAGGCCATCAATCACCATCGATCACCACCCGCCGGAATGCCGCCGCAAATTGCACTGACGACAATTGATGGTCACACTGCGTTTCCGCATCGATTAGCCACATAATAGATGGCTGCCACCCGCTGCCCCTTGGAACAGAAGGCACTTAAAACTCACGAAAACTCAATCTTGTATTTTGAACCTTCAAATCGGATAATTGGTTTCCGAGGAATTGCTAAAAAAAGACGTGAAATTAGGGAACATGCAAATGAAGTCAAAAATTACAAAATATTCAAGGGCAAACAAAATTTCAGTCCTATTGAAAATCCTCATTTGCTCTGCGCTTGAACTTTAAACTATTTTTTGTAGAGTACAATTAATTTATTAATTTATTATCAAATGAGTTGTACATTAATGTTTTCATCGTCCCTTGTTATTTACTTTTTGACAAATTGAAGTGATGTCGAATATAAAACCGAAAATAATATTTGCATCAGCCTAGTTGATACAGTCTCAATGCCATTTTCATGGCTGTTGAAGGTTTTTACGTTACCCAGGGCAACCCAACCTCAACAGCAAAAATCGAACTGACAGCAATTTATCCAAAAACAAGGCACTCATCTGCGGTCTCATTGAGACCCTGCCTTGGTATCTCGCTCTCCTCACACACCAATTTCACACGCTCTCTTGCTCTTCCAATTCGTAGCTTCTCATTGAAACTGTGCACTACTATCACGAGGCCGCCGCTGCCGACTCCGTTAGTGGGTCATGACCAAAACGAAGACCACACGATCAAAAAGAAAGGTTCCCGTCTTTCCCTCCCCCCCATCCCCTTGAAGTGTCTATCCGCTGCACGGTGATGCAGTTTTGCACTGTCGCTCTCTCTCTATCGTTCGCTCTCTCTGTGATGTGTGATCGTGGTTCTGTTTCTGTATGGCTGGTAGATCAGTTCCGTGCTCGTTTGTATCGGTGATAATGATGGATGATGATACCATTTAGCACCGGCAGCACAATCGGAGAGACCCCTGGAGGCACAGACAATGGACGGACGGACGGCTGGAAACGGGCATGGTTGTGTGTGTGTGTGAGTGTGCGTGAATGAAATATGCGCCACCTCCAGCGCCGCATGCTATTATGTAAAGCAAGTTTGTCCTTCGCTTGTCAACTTTTACTTTCGATCGGAACGAGCGGCCACCACTCTGACCGACTGACTGACTGGGGCGAATGACTGATGGCAATCTTCCTGATGACGAGCGACGACACGAGATGGGAATGCAAAGAAGGCGGCACACAAATTGCCATTGATTCGCGAGTAATGGGCAAATGCTGATTATCAGTGCAATTTGAGGAAATTTAAGATGATTGGAAAAGTGGAAGAGCACCGGAAAAATGAGCGGGAAAGTGGTTTCCTGACGTTGGTTGGATACAAATTAAGAGCGTTTTGGAAAATTTCACGAGAAATGTCTGATAGTTGAGGCGGAAAATGTCAGAATTAAAATAAAATATTAATGTCGGAGTTCGAGGATTCGAGGGTGTCGACTCAATGATGAAAAATAAATTCCCTGATACTTCCTGATTTTCCAGTTCTTTTTCTGAAGAATTACAGGCAGTTACAGGAGTTATACTGATACTTTACTTTCCTGGAAAATTGTTGCTTTATGCATTCAATCAAAGTGTTTTGTTACTTCGTACGTGAAGTTTACGTTTTTCAGAGTTGGGAGGAAATGCTCTATACTAACTCAACACGAAGCTTTTGTGCGATAATTTATGAGCAAGAGAAAGTTCTGAAGAGGATAGATTGATAGTTCCGCTACAGTACGGCAAAAATACGGTAAAAATTGATAAGAAGTTGAAATTGAGCGCACTCCTTTGCCTAGCTCACTTGATGGGTGAAGGAATTTGAGGTATCAGCTTGCTATCTTTTAATTTACAAGATGTTATCATGTCTGGGAAGAAGAAAGGAAGTTCTGACATTAATTCCTATGTAGTTTTTAGAATAATTTCATAAAGGTTGTGGAAAGAACCTCCTAGGGAACCGCTACGTGACAATGGAATTTTATGAGAATCGTGAGGCGAATAGCTTGTGAATTTGAAGAATAACTCTCATAGAATTTTGACGAGAATTCAAAGAAATTTAGAAATTGAATCAGGAAAATTTCTGGGGAAAGTTGTCATTTCTGGTTTTCAGATGAATACAAAGATTCCCGAGCAGAGTTTTTTTTTTTAAATTTATAGGATAGCAACCATTTGGCATCCACTATGATTTATAATGGTTTTATAACGGCAATGAACAATCCAGTCGGTTTAAATACAGAATTTTGAAGTGTAAAACATTCCTGCTTACTAATTCAGCTTTTTGCTGTTTTAAAAACCTTTTATAGTCTGATAAAAGCAGTCAAAAACGGTCTTGTTTTAGAAATAAATTTAAAGCAACTATCAATCCCTCCATAAAACTGTTCTGTAATTTAATCATAAACGTCATTAGCAATTGTTTATTAATGTCTTGATAAAATACTCTATAAACGTGTTCTATCATTATGAAGGCAACCATAAAACCAAGAGGATTTAAATTAGAGCAAAAGGCTTTTTTTAAAAAGCATTATAAAATCTCCAATTGCACTGATTACCAATTGAACTTAAAAGATGTATCCTCATAGTGAATAAAAGCCAAATTTATGACAAGTCGATCAAAAAATTATCGTCATTTGAAATGGAACTGCTGATTGATGTCACTAAATTAGCGGGAAATTTCAAGAAGTTCCCAGATTTTCAGAGAACTTTAGAGATGTTAAGAAAGTTATTGAGGTTTTCACATAAGTCCAGAGTTCACGGAAGCTTAAACATTTTTCACATTCAATTAAATTCAGGGTAGTACAACAAGCTTCATGACAACTGGAAACACTTTAGAGAAGTTTCAAGAATGATATTGATCTCGCTAATAAAGCTCTAAAAAAATAAATAGAAAACTTCAAGAAAGAACAGACATGCTCAGAGCAAAGATATTAGTGCGCAGTGAAATTACATAAATTTAAAAAAAAATTCGAGAAATTCAGTGAATTGTTAAAACTTTAGAGACGATTCATGATCGTTAGGAAAATTGTGGAAACTTTAGGTCCGAAAAAGTTTAGAGAAGTTGAAAACATTGATACGAAATATTGGGAGAATCACCACAAATCCACAGAGGTGCCAAAATACGAAGAGCTAATCGAGTTCTTGCGTAGTCATTGTATCGTTCTACAGTCCATCGCACCTGGATCGGAGGTTGTAAAGGTGAAGAAATCAAGGTTAGCAGTGTACATTCCGTCATCCAGTCTTGTAAGCGGTCACGGTAGTCGACACATTTTCTGTGATAATCGACTGTCTTTGCCTCCGACACTTACAAAACAAGCTATCATAGTACAGTACCAAACTCAAATGTCATTTAACATGCTCTGTCATACGACACTGTCGCCGAATACCGTCACGAATGTATGTATTTTAGTTTTTCTCATAATAAGAGCTGCTGATGTTGTGCTTGTGTGAATTCTGAAAATAGCAAGCAATGATGTCCTAGGAATAACATTTTTGATGATAAATGGTTTAATTTACACCAAATTGGGGAATCAGAACCAAATCACTCATGTCATATGATAGTTATTTGATAATTTTCTTTTTGCTCGAATGTTATTCTACCGGTTGTGTTGTGTGAGAGAGATGACGGTAGAGCATGAGTGTACGATTACAAACAGACTGTCGCGCACGACAAAGAAGCGATTGTCGTAAAAAACGTCAACTGTTTCAACCCCTGCCGTCATCAGTTCTACCTCGCAGTCGAGTGGGTTTTGTAATCAGTCCATCCATTCACCTTTCAAATGTGACCTGTTCCGCAAGCTGTCCGTTCCTGAACGTTTCGATGTGATGAAGAAAAGGGCTCTCTGCATTAATTGTATATCACCGGATCACCAAATTAAGAACTGTTCATCTGGCGCCTGCCGTGTCTGCAATCAAAAACAGCACACCAGTAAGCTTCAATTCGCAGTTCGGCACATCCAAATTTTTCTATGCTGCACCAAAACCAACCCACGACAAGTCAGACTCAATCTCAAATCCAAACCGCTCAAACTACGACTCAGCCAAACGCAAATAAGACTTCCTCGCAAACTCCTCCCGTTGAAAGTCAACAGTAAGCCACGGGTTCGCTCAGCTATTGCTCCACCTCCTTGGCTACCAACTTTCACCGAATCCCATCGACTATGTTGCTGCAAGCGGCTCTCGTAAAGGTCATCGGCTCTTCTAGGACTATTATCTGGGCTAGAGCGTTGCTCGATCCTGCTTCAAACTGAACATCCTTTCGGAGAACTTAGCTCAACGATTGCAGCTGCCAAGGGTCAAGGATTATCACACCATCGGAGGTATCGGACAGTCAACCATTGTGTCTACGCACTCCATCACAGCCGAGATCCAGTCACATTGCTGAAGCAGCTACCGTACGCAGCTAAGGTTTCACGTGCTAAGTTCCGTGACACGGGAGCTGCCTTCAACCCAAATTGAAGTCAAGGAGGGACATTGGCCTTCGCTGACCGTGCTTGCTGATCCACAATTTAATGAATCAGGGTTTGTATATATGTAGAAAACAGAAGGGGTCCCAGATTACTTTCTTTGGGGAACAACGGAAACGTTCGTGAACACTTCAGAACGAGAAGCTCCAATCTTAACGCAAACCACGCAAGATATGAACCACGAGATGAAGGATCCAGACACTCCGAGTTTCTCAAGCTTGCTAAAAAGAATGTTGATGTCTATTC